AATGTAATATAACTGAGAATAATCTCAGGTGGATCAAGATAAATTCAATAATACATACCACTACAGTAGATAAATTAGGCGGTTTTGCTTTCTTGACAATAATAGCATCCCATATTCCATCATATGAAGGTGCAGGATCATCATACAGAACCGTGAAAAGTGGAGAATCCCAACGATTACGATCATCTGGTTCTTCAAATCTACTAACCAGCTCATCAAATCTAAATAAAAAATTATATTTATACGCTTCCTTCATATTTTCTAATTGCCAGAAATAAAAAAAAAAATTAAAAATTTTTGTGATACTGACATTGTTGCATCATAACCTTCTTCACCTCGACTAGAGTTCCATTCTCTAGCAATCTCGATCGGCGTTCCACAATATACCTACAAAACGAGCATCAATAATAATTACTGATTTATGATGATGAACAAAAAAATATCACCGGGTAAAACTTACCACACAATGTGGAGTACCAACAGCTCGTGCAATACAATACAATTGATATCGATACCCTTTAATATAATTCATTCCATCGGCAATTACTAAATCCTCTTTAGAAACCAGACGTTCAACAGCTGATATTAACGATGCACGAGATTTTTTTTCTTCAACACGTGTATCTTTACTCGAAATTAAGAATAATAATTATTATGAATTTAGAATTCGTACAATGAAAAAATAATAAATACACCATGGTAATAGTAATACGGTAATAATTCCTGAAGGAATTGTCCAAATACCTTTATAACTATCTTTTGTAATTCCTAAGGATTCATCGTTGATTAAGTGTACAGTTCCAGTTTTTTCTTGACTAGAGAACTTATCAAGAAAGTACTGCGTTATTTGCTTTGCACGAGTGGTCTTCCCGCTTGAGGGAATTCCACAAATAATAATTAAAGGCATTACTGAAATCTATGATAATAAAGTTATAAGTGGAGATTCATGTTACACTTACCTAATATTCACGTGTATACGTAGATGTTATAGTATTGACCTCCAAAAATTTCGATTAATTTCTATTTTCGGAAAATTTTCCAATTGGATACCACGTATACGCGTAATGATCATGTCTAATATATATTATGATAATGTACGCGTACATATATGTCTATTGCTCTTAAGAATCTTGATACCCATACCATGGATTGGTCTGTGACTAAAAATTTATTGATCGTAATCATTTAACAACTTGCTCTAACTTGTTTTATTACAGTCAAGGGGATGAAGCGATTACACCGGACCTTTTGAAATTTTTTTATTCAAGACTTTTTCCTTACAAAAGCTATGTCAACTGGTTGAATTATGGAACTGGTAAATTAAAGTCACCTTAGTTGGTTTTTTTTTTTTGTAACTGAAATTCAAATATCATGCTACTTCTAGAAAACAATGCCACATTCAAGACTCGCGAACTCAGTTTCACCTTACCTTCGGATGCGTATTTACGTTTTCAATCATTCAATGGTGCTGAAGACTTGAAAACAGAGATTATGAAAATGTGTCCTACAAAGATTGATATTGGCGCAATTTATTCAGCTAAAGTATGCTACTATATGTTTAATTTTGTTATCTGCAGTTATAAAGTTACATGTTTTTTTATACCATATTAGCCAAGAGACAAAAGAAGTATACGAGCATCTACCTTTAAACCTATTGAGAAAGAACTAATATTTGACATTGATATGACTGATTATGATGAAATCCGAACTTGTTGCAGGTATTTAAGTTTATGAATATTTAATCTAATTAAATTTCTTTTTTTAAAATTAAATATCATGCTCTTTAGTGGTGCATCTATATGCAATTTATGCTGGAAATTTATGACAGTCGCAATCAAGATCATTGATGCTGCTCTTAGAGGTTGGTCGTCATTTTTGAAAAATTGGTTTTTTAAGATTCTATTTTCACTAAAAACGCGTAAAATCGGTAGAGGATTTCGGATTTAAGCACTTACTTTGGGTATATTCTGGTCGACGTGGTGTTTATTGCTGGGTTTGCGATGAAAACGCTCGGAAATTGAGCAATGAAAATAGATCTGCAATTGTATCATATCTTGCACTCATAAAAGTAAGGTCAAAAATTTTATAATATTTTAAGTTAACATCAGTTCACTTAATGTGATCTATAATTTTTAGGGTGGCGCTCAAGTAAATAAGAAAGTGCACCTCAACAAAGCTTTGCATCCATCTATTAGGTAAATTTCTTGAAGAATAAGGATCCTTTTTAAATGCTAAAAGTTACTATTAATAATGTATAGGCGGTCTTTGAACATCATCGAGAATTACTTTGAGGACCTTGTATTAAAAGATCAAGATGTGTTGGGTTCGGAAGAAAATTGGTCCAAGGTCTTAAATTGTATTCCAGATGATGGTAAATTAAAAATTTTTTTTTTAATTATAAATAATTTTTTTGTTTAACAAAAAAAATCAAATATGTATTAACTCGACCGTTTCAGAAATAATAAAAAAATTGTCCAATAAATGGAATTCGTCGAGTTCAAAATCCTCCGTCCAAAAATGGGAGGAGTTGGTTAGTGAATTAGAAAATGCTACGAATGTTTCAGGAAAAAAGGTAAACATTCATCCTTGGAGTGTAACAATTTCAATTGAATTCATTTGACATATATTGAATTTAAATTATAGTTTTCAAAGAAAGCCGAACAACTTCAATTTTGCAAATTTGAGATAATGATTCAATATACTTATCCAAGAATTTATGAAGCAGTATCTAAACATATAAATCATTTATTGAAGGGTCCCTTTTGTGCACATCCAAAAACAGGTAAGCATTATGAGCAAATAATAAATTTAAACATAAGGATCTAAGTTTAAAAAATGATCACTTTTTATAGGACGAGTTTGTGTACCGATTCAACCAGAAGATTGTGAAAACTTTGATCCATTTAAAGTACCTACAGTTGCTTCAGTATACCACGAGTTGAATCAATATATTGAAGGAGAGCGAAAGATTCATGGTGGTAAATATCTTTGTTTAAACACTATTTAATTATCAACTTTATTCTAATTATTTTTATTTTGAATTCATTTTATGAAAAGATTACGATAAAACGTCGTTAAAACCGTATATCAAATATTTTGATAAATTTGTCAGTGGTATCTTGAAAGAAGTTCGGGAAATTCGCGGTAGGTTTTTTTGTTTTGTATTGCTTTAAGTTGATGGGATTCATTATTTTATTTATTTAAAAAACTATTTTGTTACTTGATGGGATTCATTATTTCATTTATTTAAAAAACTATTTTGTTACGTATAGAAAAAACATCCATGGAATTTTAAATATAATTCTGACAATTTTGGAGTTTTTATTAGCGTTAGCATTATAAAAAATTAATTTGTGCGACAATGATTATCAGATACTCTTCGAAAA